TGTGTGTGTGTGTGTGTGTGTGTGTGTGTGTGTGTGTGTGTGTGTGTGTGTGTGTGTGTGTGTGTGTGTGTGTGTGTGTGTGTGTGTGATTAGACTGATAACGAGGCCGTTGTTGGTGTCCTGGGAAAGCTGTAGCCTCTGTGCTCCATGCTCCCCTGGCTGCTCTGTGGCCGTGGCTCCTGCTGCTGTCTGAGTGGCCTTCACTCCTCCTGATTTATAGCAGCCCTTTAAACACAAGGAGCTCCGGATCTCTGTTAATGTTTGCCAGCTCTGGAGACACCGAGCTGCTCTTGTACTTCAGCTTATCATCATACCAGTACAGGCTGCGGTGCTGGATAAGATGAAGATGGCGGTGATTTAATCAAATCCTCCTTTAAAGGAGAACGTTGGCAGATATCTCGTTCAAATCGTTTCATAAATACATCATTTAATCAGTAACATCATCCATTTAAGGATCTGTCAGTGAAGTGACCCACACATGAAATTCACTCCTTAATTTCGCAAATTTCTTGTTCAAAACATGCAATACTGGCTTATTTTCAGTTTTTTTTTTTTATATTTGCTGATGAAATGTCATTATCCACTCTTTGTGCTTCACACACTCATTAACTCCACATATAAGCACTGTTTTGTGGTTTAAGTGTCTGGTTAATCACATTTCCACACAAAGTCCTATAGGTTTTTCAGGCAGCTCACTTCTGCCCCCTTCTGGTCTCACGTGAGCAAACAAACTAAACTTTAAAGAGCTTTATTTGGTGAAGAAAAACCAAACAATAYAAATTAACAAGATCATCTGAGGTTGAATTGTTGCTGTATGTTTCTAAATCTGCCTCAGATGTAAATATAGTTCGTTTTTCCACCCTAACCTTCTGCACAATGTCTTTTATTGTTTTCAGCACCATGGACAGATCTCAGAAGCCTCCTGTCTGGTTCAGGATCCCCCATCATTCCCCACCCCCAGCAGTAGCCTGGTATAGCTGACAGATTCCTCCATATTGTTAAATGTCACCGGGCGTCCCTCAGAGACGTACAGATCAGTTGTTCAGCACGCCCGATCCAAGATAATTATGGCTCTCTGACTGCACTTTAATTACAACTCTTGGCCAGCAGAGACCCTTTTATTTTTCCTCAAACACTAGCAGCTGGTTTTAACTGCTAATCAATCGAAGCAACTTTATTTATAAGGAACATTTAAAACATTCAGAGTTGACCAACATGCTGTACAATAAAACCCATAAAAAGAGCCATATAAAATTATTCAAATGAAAGCATCATAAGCAATTTAAAACAAAAATATGTCAAATACAATGCCAAGGAAAAAAGACAAAATGACAGAAAATGGCATAAAAAGCCCAACGTTAAGGAAAATAAAGGTAGGACACACCTTTAATTGACAATAGAAGGTTGTACAGTTCTGTGGCAGCTACACCAGAGGAATGATCTACGTAATCGGTTCAAAATGGCCAAGGTTAGATTATACTCTGMTGCCWAAATAATAATATTTAATTYTGTATTTTCRAYACACACAGTTCAATTCTATACCACAATAAGTATGCTATGAAAACGCTGTATATATCAAAAATWAATTTGACTTTGCGGCATAGCCTAAACACCTCTAATTGGCCTCTGTCTCTATAAGAACCTCCTACCGTTTCTGACACTCCCACTTCTGCACTTTTTAAAAGAATGCTTTAGYYGAGGGGTGCTCTGTGGGGGGTGGGATCTCAGCTGCAGACTGAGCTCCAGGGAGGAGCTTTGTATGAATAGGCAATGCTTTGTACCAACAAGAGTTCAGGCAGCTCCACACACAACTTATGCCTCTCATAAAAAWCTGAACTATACTAAAATGACAATACATTTATAAACATCAATTTGTGTTTAATATCTAGGACTATTTGAAGTTGTTTTATTCCTGATGTAGGTACAATGTTGAAATAAGGACAAAATAATAATAACCCTGTATTAGTTAAACCAACTATTTGCTAGGGGTGCAACAATACATGTACCCGTATCGAACAGAGCTTTAGGTTCAATACACACTTGTATCAAACAATATAGATTTTAAAATTTTACTTTATCAACATGTCTTCTGAAGATGCTCTGTGTTAAAGGATCAGTGGATCTGTGTTCGACTACTCCACCTAGGCTGCATTTTTTTAGCTCAGATCTACTGAGAAACTTGCTGTTTCAGCAACATTTGATTAAAAAACTGTACTTTTGAGGTTAAACAAATGCTCATAATTAATTTAAATAAATTACAAGTTAAAAGGGGCATGGACATTTCTCTTTTTTGTATCGAAAAAATATCCAACCATGAGACTAAAGTATCGAAACGAACCGAATCGTGAATTTTCTGTATRGTTGCACCCCTACTATTTGCATTTAGCTACTTTTAAGCAGAAGCTGAATTTTCAGTCATTTGGTCCTTTTTCTTGTTTTTTCTACCATCTGCTCCTCTAATCACATGTTCCTGTGTGTGTGTGTGTCTCTCTCTCCATGTCAGCCTGTAAGCGTAAGGAACAGGACCACGGCAGAAGCGAGCGGGGCAGTGTGACCAAGAAGCCCCGGCTGGTGTTCACGGACGTGCAGCGGCGGACGCTCCATGCCATCTTCAAGGAGAACAAGCGTCCATCCAAAGAGCTGCAGCTCACCATCGCCCAGCAGCTGGGCCTGGAGCTGGCCACAGTCAGCAACTTCTTTATGAACGCACGCCGCCGGAGCCTGGATAAGTGGGTGGACGACGGCTCCGGTCATGCAACCAACTCCGGGCCCAGTGCCTGCACCAAAGCCTGACGTGGGACTGAATCCGACCAACTCATGGACTGACTCAACCTCGGTGGAAAAGCTTTAAAAACTTACAGAAATCTTAGAGACCTCGAAGCAACGTTTTGCCCTTAAAAACCTGTACTATATTGATATTTATAGTATCCAAAGATGAAAAGAGAACAAACCAAAGACTTCTCGTTTAACCTGCTTTAAAATGTTCGTTTGAGCTACGTGTTTATGTTTTACATACTGCAAAAAGACTTTCACTTTCTTACACACACACACACACACACACACACACACACACACACACACACACACACTGTCACTGGTCTTTAGCTTTACTACTCCTCCCCTCACCTCCCCACTGTGTTTCAGTCTGTCATTTGCCATCTTTATCTTTAATCTGATTGGTTGGTTTTAATGATGGGTCCCTAAACGGAGGTTTAATCAGCCTGTTGGGAGTCTGATCTGCAGCTGTCCAGAAAAAGAATAGAAAAAAAAACAGGGATGAATGTGGAGTTCCAGTGGGATTTGGTCAATCAAATAAAAATCCTACAGGAGCGACTGGATTGTTCTGAAACCTCGTTCGGATCAGTGCATGGACTTTGATGTTTGTCTGTGTGTCTGTGCAGTTGTCTGTCTTTCTTTCAAGCATTCCAGACAGACAGGACAGGAAATGTCCATGGGTGGACTGCTAACCATGAAACCAAAAAATAATAATAATAACAAAAAAAAAATCCTTACCAGGGCTAAACCAAAAACAAAACTCAGCCTCAGCTGAAGTGGTGCTTTCCTCCAACCTGCTGAACTCATGTAAAACAGGAAACCAAAGCTTTCTGCATTTTTCTGCATTTTTAACCAGAGAAAGCAACTTTACCAAAGAATATACACCTCTTATCCTCTTGTACCTCCACAGCTCATGCAACGTTTGCATCTTACTTACATTTTGTTCCTTATTGACAGGAAAGCCACATGACCTACAATTACAAGCTGTTTGCCTTAAGGTTCCTGATTGAAGCAACGTATTCCATTCAGCTAGAATCTCACAGCAGATGCTTTGTGTGAGGCTGAATCATTGCAGATGTTTAACTCAAAATGCCAAACAGTTGGCAAAGAAAGATAAAATCGGTTCAGTGGTGTGTTTTCTCTGCAAAGCGCTCTGTCAGAGAGACAAATTGCGTGTGTTTTTTTCTTTCAGGACACCTCTTTCATAAGAAGGACTGAGTGTGTCTCTGTCGCCCCTGCATGCCTCACGTGTCTTTGATTTTTATCTCCTCATCAAAGACGTAGAGCCGAGGAGATGATACCAATGATCGAATCACTTTCAGGCGCTTACGCAGCAATGTCAACCCGTCACCTGAATACGAAAGCAACCCAGCCGACTCCCCTCGCCCTCCCCTCCGCCCCCTTCTCCCGGTAAGCCGTACGTACTGCAGCGCTCGGAGGAAAGCACCACGCAGATGCTGGATGGCGTTGGCTATATTAAGCTGCACCCCACTTCTCCTCCACCCATCCTCTCCTAGGCCAGGGTTAGCAGCTCCACATTCGTTCCGACAAGCTTTGAATGAGAGGCCGGGGGAAGCTGCTTCTTCATCTCGGAGTGAAAAACCAAAAAAAAATGACAAGAGACCAAAAAAAAAACCAGAAGTTTCAAACCTGCTGATGTTTTTAGTGTGAACCAAAGATGCTACCTCACTCAAGTTCCATATGTGATTTCTATCACTTTGATGATACCAAAGATAACCAAAGATTTTTTCTAATTGCACGGCCTCTGTGAGTGGTGTTTAAAAGATGCTATGATGTATGTGTCCCCCCCTTTTCTTTACCCCACCCCCCCCTCTACTTCCTTCCTCCTCCTTCAATCTGCAATCAACCCACGCGCCCCTGCTACACATTGCTCTTGCTTCATCCTGATTTCAGCTCTGTATAGATAGTCCTTGCTGATGTAGCTGTAGGCAGATGTGCCGCACTCGAGCAGCCGCACAGGTGCCTGCGGGTCCAGCTTGTACTGATATGATCTTTGTTTGTGCCTGTTAATCACAAAAAAATTATCCTTTCTGATGAAAAGCCAAAGGGAAAAAAAATAGGAATATTCTGACATTATGACAAGCCAAGAATTTGTTGTGGTCGGTCCAGAACGGTTTACGTTGTTTTTTTTTTGTTTTTTTTTTTGTAGCTTTCCATCCACGCGGCCCTGCCTCCTTGTGTGTTTTTGTAGTTTATAGATCGAACAAAGAAGTCAGACATCGTCACACGACCGCGTAGGGCAGACAGCCATGGGCAGAATTCAACGATAGGCAGACGTGTTCCTGAAAGTAGAAGCAGATGTGTTGCAATCTTTCTAAAAAAAAATAATACTCCCAGGACGAGTGCCTTGCTTGAACCAAAGTGTTAAACCGCCGTTGACCTCTCACCTTTGACTCTGTGAATACCTCAGCCTGTAGAAGGGCCACAACTGAAGAAACAAGGAATTTCTTTCTCTTCTTTTTCTTTTTTTTAATGTTTAGCTTTGTTTAAATCACAATGTGGTGCTTTCGCCAGCTCAACCATGCAATGAAAAACATACCAAAGGATGTTCTGTTGTCCACTTCTACAGATTAAACCAAAGGTCTTTGTTTTGATTTTTCGTCCCTTTTTTTCTGTCCTCTCTCTCTCTCTCGTCCCGCTCCTTTGTCCTCCCCTCCCCTACACTTTCCTCCTCTCTCTGCCGCGTGTAGGAAGGTGCTGCACTCTGGCCGTGCATGTCTTTACCAATGTCTCTGAATACCTCATAGTAATAATTCCTTTGAGTTCTGCATTGAGACGTCGTCTCTCTGCGGCGGAGCTCCACTTCTTTTGTTACTGTTGTTTCAAAAAAGCTGTATTATTACTAACTTTGAGGTGATTTGTTGATTCTTTTTAACTCTCATTTTRGGCAGAAGTGCTCTGTTCCAAGTCACGGAGGATGAGTTTCAGGGTTGATGTTCGAAACTTTAAGAGATGGAGGGAGAAACGTATTTTTATTTTTTATTTTTTATCAGACACTGGGTATTACTTTTACAGGGTAAAACCAACTGCTGTGATGTTGTGTTCATGATTCCTCTTTTACCTACGTCCTTGTTGTGATTATTATTATTTTTATTTAATTGCATTTTGTATTGTTTAACAACTTCTTTAATTTAAGTCTTTGTAGAAACTCTAGATTTGTACATATTAGGTTTTTTGGAGGAAAAAAGAAAAAAGAACAGAAACAAAAAAGACAGTTTTCGTTTTACGGCCTTATTTTTCACGCTTAGATCTGACAAATGAGTTTTTTTTGTTTGTTTGTTTGTTTGTATGATTTTCCTTCAGCAAATCCTAGCCGGCATTTCAATGTGTGTGTTTTAAACACTGCCAAAAATCCAGACAGTTGATTTTGCCAGAGCCAACAAAGTCAAACAGGAGCTACTTTGTTGATCAGCTGGTGAAAAAAGCAGTGTGTACGTGTGTATTAATGTTTTTTTTTTCTATTCCTTTTTGAATACAGTTACTTTATGAGTATTGCTGCACATCCAAAGATTTTTAAAACAAACCAAAAAAATTGGAGAAAAAACGTTTGTTTTGTTTTTTAGGAAAAGCACTGGCGTTTGTAAAGTTGTTGAGTTTTTATTTGCCATTCGCACGGTTACAGAATGTAGAAGGCGTAGGGCTCTGTAGACAAGCTGACTCTACCGTGTGGGGAATCTCCTGTACAATCTGAAGCATTTGAGTGAAAAAAAAAAAAGCGTGGGCTGCAAGCCTTGCTCACTTTGCTGTCTCATGCACAGAGTGAAGTGGAGCGGAGGCAGGGCAGCCGGTCTGCCGGGGGCCGTGCCACGGAGCTGGGTCTGTTTTTATCACCGTGGCTCGCCGCCTCCCTCCACCTAGTATCTGTTCTTTTGGTACGTACTCGTGGAATGACTGTAAGCAAAGTCTAACAAACTGCAGAGAACCCTACCAAGAAATCCATGTGTGAGTGTGTGGGGGGTTCTAACATTTTGGACTGCTTCTTTTTAAAAAAAATTTATGTGAACCCAGAATTCAGGTTCTGCTGAGGTTAGGGAGTTTGTGTCTCATCATCTGCATGCATCTCTTTACTGTTTTTTTTAATCTTATTATTTTATTGTTGGTTAAATGTGTTCGCTCTGCATGCATGTGGCTGATTGGTGGACATAGGGTTCTCAGAGCTGTCAGCAGCTGTCTCGGCCTGAATCCAAATACCAAAATGTCCAAATCAGACTAAATCAGGATGATGTGCTGACGTCGTGTTATTAGGTGGAAAGGTAGTTACATTTAGCTTAAAAATTTGTATTTAAGACGTTGGATGCAAAATGGACTTTTTTTTTCTTTTATCAGGTTTTGTTTTATTTATTCTGTCTCAAAGGAGTTCCCATATGATGGGTAGCTTGGCTACAAGTCTCATAACAATACTGCAGCGCCTACGACAATCATCTGGGTCTCTTACGCTGGGGAACTAGTTTCTCACCCGCAGAGGGGTGTCCTCGAGCTATTCATACACAAAGATGCTTGAAAGGTTTTGATAAACAAGCATTTTTGTCATCAGATTACAGCCAAAGGTGTTTTGCGGGGGGTGGGTTTATTTTGCACTTGTGTTTCAAAATGACGTCTCATTGGTCTGGTCGGCCTTGTTCTCTTTCTTTTGGCTTCCTTATTAACACACAGTGGCTCTTTGATTTGTCAGTTTCTGAATGTGTAAGCACGCGTGTGCGTGTGTGTGTGTGGGTGTGTGTGTGTGAGTGCATGTGTGCCAGAGAGGCGATACTTGCCTGTGTTACTCTCACATGTATAACTCCATGTCTCATGGTTTGATTTGTCATCGCTGTTTCCCAGGCTTTACTACTGCTTTCTCAGTGCCGTGCAATATCATCTGTTGTGATTGCTAAGCAAAAAAGAAAAAAAAAGAAGAAAAAAGAAAGAAAATTGAGGAGCAAGTGATGATGTCATCCAGCTTTTTTCTTTTTCTTTTCAGTGTTCAAATGTTTCAACATTTCTGTAGTCACAAAAAAAGGTAGAAAATAAACTGTTGGTATTTCCAACTCCTGTGTCCGACCTTTTTTATTACTATTTTGGGAGTTAAGTTATCTTTTTCTTACTCAAACAAGCAAATTGCATCAATAGTTATGTTTAACCATACATTTTATTGAACAACAATTCAAAATTTTATCAATCCTGAATATATCTGTTGTTTTTTTCTGTACCCTGCTGAGTCATGAAATCACCAACTTTGTGCATCACAGTGCAGTAAAAGCACACGCCGGGCTCATAAATAATGGAGAGGGTTCTAAAACCACAAACTCATTTCATTAYAATTTTTGATGTTTCTGCAAATGGGAATTCAGGTTTTGCTGCCAATGTGCATTTA